TTAATCCAATATTAAATTTTATAGTACTAAATTTTAATTTGATGTTAAATTTAGCGTTTTGGAACTCCAACTCTATATCATTTTTTATACTATTTTAGCGTTTGAATAATGTTACACTAAATTTAGTGTGACATTATTTATCAACCAAATCACTTTTCAAATAGTATTCTATTATTATCTTATCTTGTATACTAGAAATTGCATATTTTTAATGAAATCTCAAGTGTACTTATCTATTTTTCTGTGTAATGTTTCTACAACATTAATTTTAGAACTTAAAGTTGATGTGTATAAATAAGTATATTCATATATATATATATATATGATTTTAATATAATATTAAATTAAATTTAATATAAATTTAAGTAATGTATTGAGTTTGAAAGTTGACCATTTATGTAAAAATTAAAATAAAGTTTACGTTTAATATTTATTTAAGTATATTTCATCAATAATTCACTTTTATTTATATTATCTATTAATATAATATATAATATTAGTTAGCAACGTATATTATTTAAAAAATTATGGTACATAATAATTTTATATTAAAACTATTATACAAGAAAGAAAAGAATATGAATTGTTGGGTGAATATGTGAAAATAGAAGAAATGATTTGTTTTATGAAATAAGAAGATATAAATGAAATAAAAATAATAATAAAACATTAAAGAAAGAGAAAAATATAAAGAAAATACATTTTTAGTGTAAAATTTAGCGTAGTAAATTGAAGTTGATTAAGTATTATTTATTTTGGAAAGTGCTAACTAGCCAGAAAATTTAGCCAGAAAACTAAAAAAACTATACTATATTTTTTTTATTTTAAAATAAACTGATCTTTTTTCCATTTTTTAGTTAAAAGGTATTAAGATTAAAAGGGTAAAAATATTTTAAAAGGTAAAATAACATAAATAAAATGCCATTCTGCTAAATTCTATCGAAATTTTCTGGTCAAATTTTTTTTCCATTTATTTTTAATAAAAACGTGTACAAATAAAAATACGAGAAAGTAATACTGACATCATTTTAGTGTAAATTTCGGTGTTGTGAATTAGAGATTCCCAGCCAAATAAGACATAAAAGTAGCTTTCTTTATTGTTTCAAGTATAGTGCATTATTTACGAGGTAATTACTTTAGCCAATCATATGATTTGTCATCAAAATAATGTTTTCATTAAGACGATCATATCAAATCAACAATAATTCACAAACCTTGATTGATGGTTCTTTTTCAATCAAGAATGGACGCTTCCCAGTCATTTTTTTCCCGCGCACTTATAGTTTTTTTTATTTTTTATTTATAGTTCTAGTGATTTTGCAGAAAAACAATTTCAACCTACTTTAGTTTTTCTTCTTTTATTCCTTACCATCTTAATTAGAGTGAACCGTGAAAAATTACATTATATGTAGAGATTAAATTTTGGTTTAATAAATATATATATACAAATATTGACATTTTTTGATATATGTTAAATGTTTAGTCTAGTGATTAATGTGTTGTGAAAATTTCTAAATTATGAGAGGTCGTTTTATAGTTGGTTATAGTTATAACGTATTAATAATATAAAGATTAGTTATAAATGAATTTATATATATGGTTTTAGGCAGAGATATAGATTATACATATATTATATACATGTATTATACTCCCTTCAATTCAAAAAGAGTGACCTAGTTTGACTTGATACAGAATTTTAGAAAATAAAAAAGACTTTTGAATCTTGTGGTCCTAAATTAAAGTTATGTCAAATGTATTAAATTGCCCTTCAATCTTGTGGCTTTAAACATGCCAGGTGTAAAGCTGAAATTAAAATGTTACAAAAAAAGAAAAGGGGTCATTCTTTTTTAAGTAGACTAAAAAGGAAAGGAAGTCATTCTTCTTTAAACGGAGGAAGTATTAGTTATACCACGTGGCACACTGTAAGCTTATCGAATAAGACAATAGCCGCAAAGTTAGACTTTCAACTCCTAGTAGTTTTTGTTGGGAATTATTTCTCCGTACCTTTGTGTTTATTTATGACTATCAATGAGCTTAAAACTATGGTTTTATTATAGAGCAACTATTACGTATAACAAACGAGAAAATAATCAAAATGATCTTTCATCTAGGGGTTGAATTATGTTGGTCCTTTATATATGTCACCTTATCCAAATAGTCTTTAATATATATAAAAAGAGTATCATTTTGATCCATAGCCTTATAAAAAAAAAAAAACTGTTAAATTTAACGGTTGGTCCCACACTTGGTGAATCCTTTCTTCCACCCTCTTTCTTCTGTCATTTCTTCTTCTCTATCTTCTTTCTTCCACCATTTTTTCTCCAATTTTCAATTGATTTATTTTTTTATTCACTGTCAAAATCCTCTCTTACGTACAAAAATTTCTCCAAATTTCAAAAAATGTTTGTAAATTCAAAAACCATTTCAACAAATCCAATTATGCAGAACCCCCATATCAAAATGTTGTAAGTAACAATGTCACTGTCGTTCTCTCTAAGTAATTCAAACACTTTTTTCCGTCTCCCAACGTTGCAAAGCGAATGCACGATTATATCTTTTAAAATTACAAAAATAAAAACTAAACGGACAGAGATGGAAAATAAAAATTTACTAACATTTTTTTTAATGTAAGAGAGGATTTTGGCTGTGAATAGAAGAATAAATCAATTGGAAATTGGAGAAAAAATGGTGGAAGAAAGAAATGGAGAAGAAGAAATGGCAGAAGAAAGAGGGAGGAAGAAAGGATCCAACTAGTGTGGGACCCACAGTTAAGTTTAACAACTTTTTTATTTTTTTAGTTAGTTTTTAGGGCTAAGGATCGAAATGATACTATTTTTATATACATTAAGGACTATTTGAATAAGATGATATATATATAAAGGACCAAAATAATTCAACCCCTATAGATGAAGGACCATTTTGATCATTTTCTCTAGAAAAAACATAAAAATTATATATGTATATTTGTATGTTATAGCTATAGTTTGCATAAATGCGCTTTGCTATGGAGCTTTTGATTTGTACAATTCGCTAGAAACATCCAATTTTATACAAATTGTTCAATTTTATATAAATTCATTTATATATTGTAATTTGTATATAAGATCTGTATTTGTATAATTATAAATCTATATGACAAAAATATATGTATTTATATTTGTATATACACTTTTCTCTCGCTTTATACAAAACACAAACACATTTTATACATTTTATACCGAAATGTATAAAATGGCTAACTGTATACCGAATCAGATGACAAAAAGTAGATGTTTGCTGCAAATTACAATTAAAATAAACTATGACTATATCATTTAATTTGAATTATAATTTGTTATTTCATACAATTTTTCCATAAAAGCGTAAGAGATAATTTCTAAATTAGAAATTTTAACATAATATTTGATAATAGATTTTAGAAATAATTTTAAAATTTTCTTTTTTAAAATATTTTTAATCAAATTTTAAAAATCTAAATAATCAAATATTTTATGTTGTCAACTTCTATTCATACCACTTCAAATTTATTCAAGTATGCATGCCTAAGCACAATATGAAAAAAAATCAAGTTTTCAAATTTCAACATGAAAATCTACATGGCCTAATGTAAATTAACTTATTACCTTTAATTTATTTTGACTTTAAAATAAATACTAAAAAACATTTTTTTATTTTATCCAGCCAAACACTATCTATCTCTTTTCGTCTCAACGTTCCTATTACTTACGATTTTTTTGATATTACGAAAATTTGACAAAATAAATTACTCCTTTTGTTTCATTTTTTTTCTTCTATCCTGTTTTTTTAAAACCCAAGAAGTAGCTAGCATAAGGCAAATACTTATGTTTTTTACTTTAATCAATTATGAATTTCATCAAATAACGTTAGTCTTTGTTTAACTACATAAGCTAGACTGTTTACGTGTCCCTCTAATTCCTGACAAAATGATTAGACTTTCTGCATAGATTTGGGAGTAGATACTAATCTAAAAAAGTGTTAATCTATGTTATGTACTGCAGAAGAGTAGAGTATAAACGTGCAGCCGCAACCAAAGAGTAGAGTACTATAAATGTGCAGCCGCAAAAATAAACTAACTTATTGGTATCTGTTATAAATATCTGCCCTTTTTCTTTGCTGAGAGAAATATAAATGTGTCACATTGATTGAATTTCATGTCATCAAAAGAAACAGGTGCATATTTAAGCAAAACGTAAGAGAATTGAGATGAATGATAAACTGTGTGGTGTTATTGTGCATTTTAATATTAGAAATTAAAATATTAAATGCATGATAATTAATAAGCATAAAGTGGAGAAAATAGTTCTTTATAACTCATGCAGTTATAATGATAGTATATATGTTCTTTTCATTATCTTCTGCGGGTTGCCCCATCACTCCTTAAATGACAATTCACATTTTTTTATATTTATGTGGAAGAAATACTACATCTATATAAAGAATATTTTCTTCATTGTGTTGAAAAATGAAAAAAAATGCAGTGAATGAGAAATTTCTTTACTATTGTGTTTATATTTTAAATTAAATTAACATAGTAGGGTCATGACAAACCTCCACACACCTAGTCTCACAACCTATTCGTGATGGCTTATTATTAAAAATAAAATAAACTGTAGTGACAGAGAGAGTTAAAAAGAGGAAAAATACTCTAAATCTTCAACTAATTCACTATTTAAAATAGAGTAACTTTATATTTTTATTCTTTTAGTGAAATTTTGAACTCTTCAACTAATCTAGAGTCATTTGAGTTATACAATGTTATTAAATTATTTTATCGAAAATTATGTTGCAGTGAACTTAACATGATCTATAATTAAGATTCGGTATGGATTTTATATTAGCCATCAATAGACGCGTCTTCGTAAGCAACACATAGGCAGAATACAAGAGAAGTAGTAGTATATATAATTCAATTCAGGTTCCATACACACTCATTAATTCATTTTGTTGTTTCTATTTATAAAAAAAAAAAAAAAGTAGTGATGGCGGCACATAACATAGGCGCGTTCGAAGAAGGAAGCACGAGCTCACATACTGAAACAACAAACCCTAATACTCCAACTTTAATTACGAGGTACTAATAGATTTTATAAGCCTTCAAAGTTCTTTGTAGTGATCATCAGCGTTGTATTGAAGTCAGATCTAGCCCCCCTCTACTCCTTTTTAGCTAAAAAGAAAATTACGAGATAATAATAAAATGAACACATTTATCTTTTTTTCCACATTATAAAAACACACAATAAAATAGTACTTTCTTGGTGTTCATTGAATCTGAATACGTTATTAGTTTCAAAATTGTTTTTTTCGTATAATTAAATGTAGTTTTTTTGCATCGTGCGGTAAAACGATGGAAAAACTTATTATTCAGTCGCTATTTATGATGTGTGAGCATAAGTTACAAGTTGGTATATACTGAACATCGTTTTGACTTACTCATTTTCTGAATCTCCATATATAATTAGGGATGTTAGTGTATCTCCCTGCAAGATCCGGCGGATTGTGGTTGCCTTTCTACTAGCTTTGTGGTCGACTTTTTCAGTGAGTTCATATTTTTTTTATACATTTAATTGTTTTATTTATAAATTGTTACTATGTATTTGCTTTCTTTTTGGTTAATTTAATTGTTACTATATATGACGTAGTTGTTTTTATGAACTCTTACCTCATTTGGAGACCAAATCCCAGATCTAAGGGTTTATTTACTTTATTGACTTTAATTATGTAACTATATATATATCATATATGGTGGAGTATCTTTTTGAAGAAAAGGGCATCAATTATACGTAACTTTTAAAAAATAATTAATCGTTTCAACATTCTATTTTAGAAGAAGCCCCAAAAAGTATATGAAAAAGGAGAGGACACTAATTACTACAAAAAGGATATTTGGTGACTGACTGAATTGAATGGAGAAAAGATAGATTAGACACTGAATTTGATTGAAATAGACCGTCCGTTCCTTTCCAAATATTTTATTTCCGATGAGCTTGTTGGATTTTATACTATTTTTGGATTTTCTTCTATTAAAATACGATAATTTCACGTTCTAGACAAATTAAGATAAGTGGATATTAAGATGTTCATCAAAATTAATTGAGGATAAACTGTTTTTATTAGTATTATTATGATTAAAATGAATTAACATTAAGATGTTCATGTTTGGATAAAAAATACATGTTTGATGATGTATTAAGAAAATATTAATTAATTTTTTCCCCACCAAAATCTGACTATACAAAATATTGTCTTTATTTAAAAATTGATAAATAGAAAAGTTCAACAAATAATTAAATCAATCAAATATTATATCAATAAAATATTTTAAAAATATGTCCATTGGTAATGATGATGTCTAGGTGATAGTTATGGATGTCAATTGGAGATGGTTTTGCCCGGTAGTGGGAAATGATGATGACGGTTGACAATATATTTTGATAGAAGATGGAGATGATGGTATATAATAATTGATGATTGTTATAATAATAATAGCTACTTGGCTAGTGATAATGAGTTTAAATAGTTGCTAGTGATATTGACGATTGATTGTTGTAATTATAAATACCAACGATAATACTCCCTCCGTCCCTATTTACTTGTCCATATTTCCTTTTTTAGTTGTCCCTATTTAGTTGTCCATTTTGACAAATCAAGAAAGGACAACAAAGTTTTTCCTATTATACCCTTATTTACACTTCTTGAAAATTGTAAAAGTGTATGTTGTTTCCCTCCAATTTATTTCACTTTAATTCAAATAAGTGATTGTAATTTTGAAGTTAAAAGTTGTCATAAGGGTAAAATTGTAACTTCACTATGCTAATCATTGTTGCCTTAATCTGTGTGCCATTTCTAAAGTGGACAACTAAAAAGGGACGGAGGGAGTAGTAACTAAGTATGCTGGTTGTGCGTGTGAGATAATGCATGGTAGTTGATAATAGTGCACGATGACGACAAAGTTGAAAGAATAATAATGAACTATCATCTTTGCAAATATTTTAAATTAGAAGTCTTTGGACGGAGCGGCAACAATTAGTAAGGAAAGTGAATTGTTCAAAAATTGTAGGAGAGTCTTTATGAAGTCCTCGATTGAAGATATTCACTTGGCTTCATGTAGTTCAATAATTTGCCTAGACCCAAAAAGATCAAAGACAAAAGGCTAGATTTTACTCTTTCTAACATCAAAAAATTTTCTAGTCGGCGACGAGATTTGAAATCGGACCTATGTTCTATTATGCATGTTTAAGTGTAATTATATATCATCTAAAAGCATTAAATTATTTAAAGATAATACATTTTTAATTACTTAATTATATTACGTTTAAATACAGAAAAACTCATTGATTATGAACAAATACATATATATCAATACCTGACTATTTAATCTAACATTTTATATATCCAGGTGGAGCATGAATGTAACTCTGACTTGGAAACTGATCATAACAGGTGAGAAACAAAGAGCTATTAAGAATGTTTCTTAGAATCATGGTTACCACGGCTTCTAATAGGATTTAAGTTATATATACTTAATGTGTAGGAATTTTTACATTATTGGAGTGCAAAATTACTTGCCATATATTTTAAGTTACTAATCAATACTTGTTACACTGTGGATGCATAGAATTTAATCTCAATATAATTTTGATTAATGCATTGATGGAGGAGAAGCAAAATTACAAATCACATCACTTGTACAATAATTAAAGTAAAACATTATGTTAAGCATAACTTAGTGTAATTTGTTTTTCATAAACAACTACTCCATTTTCACAAATTAAGTAGGATAACGTCTGTGTACATGTTGCGCTGGTTTTGTTGTTGTAGTTATTTTAACTGATATAATTAAAATAGTACTTAACTTAAACCCTTAAACTTACGGTACTGCCTCTATAATTTCATGTTGTATCTGAGATTAAGCTATATTCAACATTGTACACATATAAAACAGGATCAATTCCCAGAAGAAACTCGATCCTTGTGAATCGAGATGTTTACGTTTAAAGTTCTCACACGAGGTTGCCCCAATGGTATTTACTGGAGAGTGTATTTTTCCCAATGGAACCAAATTGGAATTGGTTGATGCTGTTACTGGGCAACAAGTGCGACATGGGCCTCCAGCCTCAGCACAAGTTGAAATATTTGTACTTAATGACGAAAATTGGACAATTGAAGAACTAAAGAATCATATAGTGATGCAAAAAGGAGGTGGAACATCAAGGCGCGACAAAAATCCATATCTGAGGTTGGAAGGAGGCGTTGTTTCTGTTAATGAAATTAAATTCAAATACACTCCAAAGCATATGAAGAAGTGGAACGCGGTAAAGCTAGGAGCAAGGGTTGTCGATCAACCTGAAGTGATAGAGGCCGTGACAGGACCCTTTACTGTCAAGGATAAACGTTCAAGTGAGTATTATATTTCTACTTAATTAATTACCTTTAATAAACTAAATAGTGAGTCAATTTGAGTTATGGTTTTCACAGAAAGCAAGAAGCGGTACCCTCCATCTCCAACGGATGATGTATGGAGATTAGAGCATATTTCCCCAGACCCATATAGTGACATTTCATTGGATATGTTTTTGTAGCTTTAATAAACGAAACAATGAGTCTATTTGTTTTCACAGAAAGCAAGAAGCGGTACCCTCCATCACCAACGGATGATGTATGGAGACTAGAGCATATTTACAAAAAAGGTGCTTTCCATAAGCGGTTGACTGAAAACGGAATAAAAACAGTGGAGGATTTCCTAATTGAACTCCAAAACAATCGTCAGAGACTACGCCATGTAAGAAGTTACTAATTCTATCCAAGTACCTAAGTACTATTTTGCAAAATTTATACTTGCGCAACAATCAGGCCAATATACTGATTATATTTGTCCATGTTTTGCCTTAACTTTTTTCTCGTTTCAGTAAGAAGCCATACATCTGAATTTTTATCTATCGTGTAGATCCTTGGCAAAAGCATGTCTGAAAATTATTGGATAAAAGCTACAACGCATGCTAAAACTTGCAATCTTGATGGAAGAAAATACTTGTACCATCATTTTGAGATGGAACAAAAATTTACGGTGGTGTTTAATGTTGCTGGTCAGGTGATGTGGTTGGACTCAGGGTGTGGTTTACATCATTTCAAAATGCTTTCTGAATCTCAGAAGGTATATATATTTATTGATTGATTATGAAAAAACTATTCAGAATAGTGGACTATTTTGAGCCTTTTCCCATTGATTGTCATGAATATGTTTGTCCATTTCTAGTTCCCTGCTTCAATTTTTGGATTGACAAACAGGTGTACGCACGCAACTTAGTGGAAACTGCATTTACAAACTGGGAAAATGTCGAAAAATCTAATAACGAGATGCCTTTCATGGATCACTTATCACCCTCTCTGGAGCTAGGATGCATGAGCAGATCATGTAACTTGGGGAATTTGGTCACGGTTGACGAATGCCAGTCTTTAGAGTTTCAAAATACTTGCGTGAGTACTACTTCAATTTCTCACCAAATGTTAGTATTTGCTTACCACACTACTAATACGAGCTTTGAAAATCTCTCTGAACTATTTCGTCACATTTGATTCAGGGAACGACTGAAAGTAACTGGTGGATAGACAGTGTTGAATGTTCTACTTCTTATGCATTTGCTGACCGGCAATACGAGTCAGATCATGAGATGTCTCTTGCTATAACGTCTCCTGGCCATTCAGGTTGGGGGTATCTAAATTCCCCCAACGATATCACATCTGCAGTGCCTATATCAGATCAATCAGGAGATTGGGAGGAATTTATACAATTTCTTAGTTCTGATGAAATTGAATTTGAGGATGAGCTTGGCCAAGCCAACAATTCTGTTGCTGAAACAAGTTCCACACAATTACAACATGGTGATCATTTGCAAAACTTGAAGGATTCTAAACATGTTTGCACAAATGCTAATCAGCAGAGCCAAATGAACAGAGTCTCATTGGTTCCAGTGGGCTCGACGTGTAAAGGCAAGTCTAAGAAGGGCTGGACCAAGATATGTAGCATACTGAAATGGTACTTATCGCTGAAGAGGTTTGTTAAACTTAAAAAGCTCCGTATGACCAAGAAGCGCAAATTAATTTTCCAAGATAAGCCACATGAGTGAAACTGAGAATAAAAAACACTAGCTAGCTCTGTCCGATTTAGCTGTGGCGGAAAACGATCAACAGACAACGCCAACATGTGAAGCTAGGACGTGGATGAATAATTTTGTGTGTGACTTTTATGAATATCTTGACGTCATGTTTCACGAATTTGAGAACTTATTGAAACTACTTTTGCACCGTTAGACATGCTTTACAGTTGCACTATATATGGTATCAGCTTTCGAAAAGGAAGTTCTAAACCAAACTATACAAAAAGCTAACAAGCGTCGGTCAAGATAGTGTTAGGAATGAAAATTTGTAACCTTAGTGAAGAAGTTAGCAAGCATGTGAGAAATTGTTTAGTAAACCAGTAAGAATAGATGAACAAAAATTAATTAATAGAACTAAAATCTGTAAAAAAAAACGTACCACAATCTGGAAAAACAGAATCAGGAAAAAGATCAATCCCACTGAATGCACAGTGTCCCCTTAAGGAAATTATTCCCCTCTAGTATCCGAGGTTTGATTTGGAATATGTCCTCCCAGGATAGAATGATCTCAATCACCAGTGTATTGATACCCAAAACTCTGGTGTCAGCGAACCACTCAACAACAGTAAAGTACACGAAGAAATTTTATGCAGAAGAAGAAGAAGAAGTCAGAAAATTCGTAAGGAATAAGTCTGAGGAATCAATGTATTTATAGGCAAGAGGAACTGGTTCCGAAAGGTTGCAATCCTTTCAGAATCCACACGACCATTCATGAAAGTTTGCAACCTTTCAAACAGTCATGGCTGTTTCTGAAAGTTGCAACCTTTCAGAACAGTCACTTTCAACGGTGGGAAATTTAAATAAAAACGGGAAAGATTTAAATAAAACGGGTCGCGCGTGGATTTGAGTCGGGTCGGGTTAATTAACTAATTAATTGAATCGGTTAATTAACTAATTAAAACGTTGACCATTTAATTTAATTTAATTAATTAACTAAAATAATTAAAACAAACTTTGTCCAAAAAATTATCTCTCGATCGATCCGAAGCCGAGCGACGACAGCTCGAGGGGGTCCCTCTTTCCAACCCTTTTTACAATTAATAGGAGTGTTTCTATATTTAAACTCTCCTATTTTTCTTTCCACCACCGATGAGGGACAAATGTCTTTTCAATAAAGCATAAGAGGACTTTTCAAGTTCCCAACTTTTTCAAGTTCCTCTTTTATCTTCCCTCCATTTCCCATTAACTCTTGCTACATACCCAACAGTGAATTGTGAGGTTTTTAGATAAGCTTATCTACTAGCTTATAAGTATGATAATTTATTCAACGTGTTTGATATAAAATTTATATGCTACGTAAGTACCTATAAATAAAAAATAATTCACAATCTTTAACAATAATGATAATTTCAGAAATCTTTTATGAAGTTTGGACTTATAACACAATCTTCAATTTCGTGATAATAAATATTTTGGAAGGGACTATCAAAATTGAATTATAAATGGTTAATTGTTACGGAAGAAAATTAGATTTCAGATTTTTATTAAGTTTAAGTATGAAAATAAAATATACAATATAAAATTAAAAAATAAAATAAATAGGTGATAAGTTTATTAGTAACTAGCATATTGAATATGATTGGTCAATTCTTTTTATAAGCCAATTTGACAGCAAAATTGTTACATGCAAATGCATTTGAAGTGATTCAAACTCGTGTGCATACGGTCAATTAGAACCCACTTGATCGCTACGCCACAACTAAGATGTGTTCATTGTGAGCTCACATATATAATCCTATGAATTTTATTATAATTCTTCTTATATAAATAATAATTTTTTTGATCAAGTGGGTTCATTTAAACTCACTTGATACCACGTCGGTCTGTTCCTAACGGCTGGCTATATATATTGCACTGCATGAAAAGAGAGAAGGTACGCATTTCAATTGTAATTTTTATAAAATTAAAAAAAAATATTAAAATTTTAATTCATAATGATTCATGAAGTTCAAATCTAGAAATAGTTCATATAATTCAATGTTTTAAATTATCTAACATATTTTATCCTTGATATTTCATAAAATTCTTATTTCACATCAAAATATAACAACACTTAATAGTTTTGAACCCCGCCATTGTGGCCATTTAATTAAATTTATACTACTAATATAAGTGGAAATAGCTTCCTATTTTTCTAGGCAAGTAATAACTCAATATTAAGTTTGAGTGTCAATAATATTAGTATGTTCTCTATCCAACTTTCAAATGAAAATGTGCCGATTGCCAAATGGTCTTTGCTTCCCAAACCACTTTTAACTTTAAACAAAAATCCAACCCACCACATTAACAGATTAACTTATTTTATATTTCATCTTTCATCATTCATATTTCTCGTTCTTTTTTTCGCTAAATTCTTTTCTATGTTTCCTTAGAACTACCAACAAAGAATGAGGAGCTAGTTGTTACTTCTTATTTCAAGAAACAAGAAATGTAGTTCTACAAATAGTGACGAAACTTGAAAAAAGAGGCACCATCCAAGAAAAAAATAATAATAAATGAGGTCAATTTTTAATGTATTCTTAACTTGATTGATTTTGATTTGTGAGATAAGTAAGATTGATTATAAGAAGTAAAAAATAAATCTTTTAATTTTCTTATTTATGTAAGGTTTTTTTTTGTTGGTTTTAGCTATGGATTTGCTTTCTTTTTGGTTCGTTGTACTTGTTACTTTGGCTTTCTTATATTATTACTTGCTTAGATTTTGACAAATTTTATAGGATTCTTGATTGATTCTTAGATGGGTAAAGATCAACCTTTTAGTTTTTTGATCAAATTTTCTTGATTAATATTTATATATATTTTACTCTTATTTAAAAAAGAATACCGTAATGGATAATAATTTAATAATTAATTTTTTTTTCAATTGACAATATAACATTTCATGTATTATTTTGTAAGACAAGAATAAACATATATAAATTATTGTATGCTACATAAAAATACAAATATTTAAATCTCTCTTATTGATTATAGTTTTAAAACTTTTTTTCAATATATTCAATTGTTACATTAACTATCAAAAATGTTCTAAAGTGTTTTGAAATAAAATTAAGACTTCATTTCATTGAATATTAGAGTATCATTTTTTTACCATATAATTTTTTGTAATACTTTTAATTACAAAAATCAATATTATAGTGATTGTTACCTTTTAAATACATTCAAAATTAAAGATAATATTTTTTTTTAAAATTAATTATTTGATAATCTAATTAGTTTGAGCTTGAAATGTTTAATAAAACATCTCAAAGAATTAAAGACCATCTTACAAAGTCAATATTAAAACATAGTTGATTCAAATTGAAGTGAATTAGAAAAGTTAAGAAATAAAAAGTAATTGTAAATTTAATTATCTACATTTTAATGATAATTACATCAATAATAAAATTTCAAAGATATATGCATAATAATTAGTAAGAGATTAACACCAAATTATTAAGAAAAAATTAACTAATACTAACAATAAATACATAACTTATTTATATTCTTCTTAGGATATTTATTTTCTTCCAAGTGTTAATACGGCTCTTAACCCTGGTTGTCTCTATTAGGTATTTATCTCCTCCATCTTTTTGTCTGCTCAATGCTTTGGGGATTAGATACGTATCTGAAAAAGTATTGGCCAATCCTTAATGAAAACAAAAAATAATACTCTACTATATAGTATGAGAGAATATTGTTATGTGGCAAATTAAATTAAGTTATTGGTACCTGTCAGTACCTGCCCCATTTTCCGTGCTGAGAAAATAGAACGTGTCTTATTGATTGGATTTCATGTCATAAATCTAAATAGGTAGTTAAATATCATATGAGATTTGTGAAAATGAATAAATAAATAATGACTCGTGAATTAAGAGAGGTATTTAAATATCGTATGATATTTGTGATAATGAATAAATAAATAACGACTCGTGAATTAAGAGATGTATTTAAATATTATATGATATTTGTGATAATGAATAAATAAATAATGACTCGTGAATTAAGAATAGATTAAAGAAATCACCTAAAATATAATATTTGATGAAATAGCTCGAAGAATTGCAAGAAAAGGAACAATTTACCCATCCGATTAAACTCAATAATGCTTTCGCCTTAACTTCCAACCCTCTTCGGTCACTTCTTAAAAAATATAATAAATTCGTCTTTACCTTATTTTGTGGTGAATTTATGTATAATTCGATATAAAATTGTGAAATTAACTTATGTTACTTTTAGATAAGCTTATAAACTAGCATACAAGTATGATAATTTATTCTATGTGTTTGATATAAATGTCTAAAAAATGTATATGATAACAACTTATAAATAGAAATTTTTTTAACGATAAAGATAATTTCATAAAGCCTTTCTGAAGTTAGGAATTATAACACATATCTCTTTTAATTTGTGAAAATAAATATATATATATATATTCTTTTAGCTTTTCTTTGTATATTATGTGACATGCATAATTGACCAAGTCTATTTTTTAAGAAGCTTATTCTTTGACCAAGAGTATCTAAAACTTTTAGAGGATATCTGCTAAATATATTTTTTCTAATGGAATTCCTTCCATATTCTATTGAAAGTCTAGGGTTACTAGTACTTGATGGAATATCAATATACGAAGGAAAGATAATATGTAATATATATATGTGTGTGTGTGTGTGTGGTAACATAACTATTATTTAACTTATAATGGACATGTATCTATGTCTTTCAATTTTATGTCTTCTTTTATTTTGGATAGCAAATGGGGTTTGGGATAGAATTCTGTCGTTAATTGTTGAAGACCCTTTATTTTCAAACATGTTCGTATTCATTATTTCCTTTTTGAACACCAACCCGACAATGAGGCAGTCAAAAATTGGCACGTTTGGGCCAACATGATCTTATAATATTATATTATTTATATTAAATGAGACAAAATTTATATTATTATTTATTAACTTTAATTTGTTGCCGATAATTGCACAATAGCGGCATTTTTGGGGAAACAACGATTAGATGGGAGTTCATTTAATTATTATTATTATTTTGAAGAAGAAAAAAGACTTGATATAAAAGTCAAGCAAATAAGAGATAAAAAGTTAGGGCCTTCATTTTTTAAAGTACTTTTTATTTTACTCCCTCTATTTATTCACAAGGATACCACCACTTAGTAATTAAATTTTAAAAAGTCATCCAATTAATAATGGTTTCGTTATGACAATCATATCAAATTATGTGGATTCATGTACTTTGATTGATGATTCTTTTCAATCATAACTAGAGTAGTACTTAATAATGAATTGAAACTTTGACAACACAAAAATAGATATATCATTATGACCAAAAGTTTTTATTTTCTCCAACGCACTTTCATATATAGCACATGTACGTAATTTTTGAGAATAACATGAATTTCAACATATTTTACTACGTTTTTCTTCTTTATTCCTTAATAACCATCTTAATTAGATTGAACAATATTAATTTTTTCAAAATTAGCTTATTATTATTTTTGGTAGGTTCTTAAAATCAGCTTATTATATTTGAAAAGCATAATCTTGAATTGGGTTATCGTCGAAAGTAGAAAAATGCAAGTAAACCACTTTTCTAGTCAAGTCAGGCCGCAAATTGAGACTTCCCACTCCTAATTAGTAATTCAGATTCCTCAGCCATGATTTGCAGTACATATCTCTTTTCTTGAAGAAACAATAATTTCATCGCTTATAAGCATAAGACGTACTTTATAAAATTTTAATTTAGCATTTGATTGTATATTTGAGAATTGATTTTTAAATTTGAACTTAAAACTCAGGCAAACTGAAGTAATATTATGAATTTTGACTTATTTCTATTATTTTGTTTGAAAACACTTTTTTTTAATCGTACCCCCGCCAAACACCACACATCTCTTTTCGTCTCAACGTTTTATTACTTACGATATTTTTATTATTACGAAAAATTGGACTCTATTCATTTTTTATTCTATCTTCTTCTTTTTTTTGAAACCCACGAAGTATCACAAGGCAAATGTTTAAGAAGTAGAGATTATAAAAACATACACGTCCCATGTACTTAAGAAGTAAGAACTACTCGTAGATTTACCATTACACGTCAAATGCTTATGTTCTTTTATAATTTTGACTTTCGTTAGATAACATAATCTTTATTAAGAATTTTATTCTGGTCGGCTTAAAAAAAAAAAAAACGTGAGTTCTTTTCTGGGAAATTTATCAGCTTCCCGTCTAATTAAATGGTTTAGATCGTTAACGTGTCCGCCAAACTCCTGACAAAATGATTAAACGTTTTGCTAATGACAGCATAAATGGAATTAGATATGTATCTAAAAAGTATTAGTTCATTTTTAATTGGAAAAAATTACTTTACTATAATATGAGAGAATATTGTTATGTGGCTAGAGTATAAAGTGCGGCCGTAAAATATACTGACTAATTGGTATCTGTACGTACCAACCCCTTTTTACACGCTGAGAGAAATAGAATGTGTGACAATGATTAGATTTCATGTCATAAATTTCAACACGTACGCATTTAAATTATGTGAGAGAATTGAGATGAGTGATAAACTAAAAATAATAATGACTCATGAATTAAGAATAGATTAAAGAAATTGCCTAAAACAATTATGAAGATAAAGATAAACTTTCAAATCAGACTTTAAGTTGTCTTATATCATTTTAAGTTTCGCCCTAATTCTCATTTACAATTCAATTAGATTAGACTAGTTTTACTAACTTCGTTTTCCAATGATTCATCGATGAAATTAGGACGTCGGTGTAAACAGAATGTTGTCTTGAAAAATTGCCAAGAAATGGAACAATTTAACCATCCGACTAAACGTAATAATGCTTCTTCCCCAGCTTCCAAACCTTTTATTTTTTTAAAATTTTTATGTGTGTGTGTGAGAGCGTGCGCATGTGTTAATGTTATTTTTAAAAAATTCTATATTAATTATTGAAAGAAATTTATGTACTTGTATTGTAGAAAGCGGGTGAGTGAGGTTAATGAAGTTATGAAGGGACATTGATTCCTTTCAACTGTCAAACAAACAACTTCAATTATGTAGAAAAACAGACTAAACCAACCATCTGACCCAAAAAAGTAGTAATGTTCACACCACTTATAACAACGCGTATGTAATATTTTAGCTTTGTCGTCTACCAAATTTTTATTCCGGTTACACCGTTAAAATTAAACTAACACCCCATCCTACCCAATTTTTTTCATTTAATTTACTCTGAAAAGAAGGATAGTAATAATAAATAAGGCGCTTATGACATGATTATTCCACTATAAGCATTTATTTTCAAAGAAAAATGTGGGATTGGCCACCCCACTCTATAGTTACAACTTAGCGTAACGGCGGTTATTTAAGCCGTTAATACACACGCGTCTTCTAATATAAGTAATGTATAGGAAAAAGAGAGGTGCATGCACAATAGTAACCCTACTATATATATATTATAGTTCATTTTCCCTACAGAAGCATATAGATTATTATAGCATTCTTTTTGTTGTTTTTTCTTTTTATCCAAAGATCATATATAGTTGATGGCGGCACATAATATAGACATGTTCGAAGAAGGAAACTCAAGCTCACATACGGAAACAACAAACTCTAACACTCCTTTTACCAGGTAATCAAATTAAATCACACATCTTTTTTTTTTCCACATTATAATCGGATCAAAACACTGGTTACAATTTGATGATAATTCATCAAATTCCAAATACGTTGCTGTATGATTTGGTTTCAAAAATTCATTTTTCGTATAGTAAAATGTACTATAGCTAGCAGCCTCTTTTTTTTTGTCTCGTTCAGGAAAAAGAAAAACGTAATAATTAGTCGCCATATATCTATATCATGTGGGATCAAACTGACCACCAAGTTGGCTGGCATGTGATGCATCTGCTTTTATAGAAATATTGAACAATATATATGGTTGACGTTGACTAAGTCATTTTAATTTCTGGTGTTTTATTGGATCTCCATTGTTTCGTTCTGCAGACTCCTACGGATTGTGGTTGCCTTTCTGCTAGCTTTCTGGTCGACTTTTCCGGTGAGTTGTAAATATTTTCCATTCTTTAATTGTATGTACGGATTTCCTTTCTTTTTGGTTAGTTGTGTTAAAGAATTTCCACATCGAAAAGGGGATTTGTTCTCTTTATATGGACAATCCTTCCCTCATGAGCTAGTTTTGGGATTGAGTTAATCCAACATCCATTTTTTTCTTTAAATTTGATGGGATTATGTTGGTTCATATATATATTCATTTGCTTAATTAGCACAAATGGATAATATTCCCCGATTGGACTTCAAGCATTTGTGGTTTAATTGGCTGCAAATATAATTAGCCCGATGTTTCTGTAAATTCTTGGCCTGTTTTTCACCCAAAGTTGTCGATCTATGCTGCTTGACGAAAAAACTTTGATATACTCCGTCCCAATTTATATAACACATTTCAGAATTCGAGATTCAAACAATTTTATGACCGTAAATTTTTTATAAATATATAAATTTCATTTAATTTTTTTTTGAAGATTTCATGTCCAAATTTCCGGTTAAACTTAAGCTATTTGACTCTTAAAAACAAAACGTGTCACATAAATTGGAAAATGGGAGTATAATTTTGAGTGGACAAAATGAATGAACTCTTGAACAATTCCCAGATCTGGTTGGGTTTTAATTAATATAACTACATATGGCATTTTTTTTGGTTGGTGTTCATATATGTCTATTACAAAGGCCTCTTTTGGTATATGGTTGGAAAGAAATTAATCTTTTCTGGAACACAATATCTATATTTTTGGATACGTACTAGATTTTTTTTCTTTGTGGAGAAAAGGGCATCAATTTTTTGTAAACTTAAAAGGGAAATTAATTAATCTAATCAATTGTAGATTAACCTCCAAAAAAAGTAAAAAGCAAAAGCGAAAAAAGAAAAGAAGGATCAGACACTGAATGCAAAATCTACAAAAAGCAAAAAGCTGAAATATTCCTTTGTAAACATTCCTAGGAAAATGCATAATTAAGAATATTTTATTTCCTATGATCTTTCGTAGATTATTTTATGATAAATTATGATAAGTGAATATTAAGATATTCATTAAATTTCAAATGTTTGGATAAAATGATTGAGAGGTTGAATTAACAAAACACTAATTAAAATTACTTCTCCCCTTAAAAACTGAATTTACAAAATATTGTCTTTATTAAAATTTTTATAAATAAAATGGTTGTGGATAGTATAGTTGGTAACAGCAATGGTCAATGGTGACTGCTAGAACATATTAATGGCGATGTTGGTATGGTAAATGGCGGCAACAATAGATAATTGTTGCGGATGATCGCTAATAGATAAATGGTAAATGTTTGATATGGTGGTGAATGGTGATGGAGGTTAGCGATATATTGTGATAGTACGTCGATGATGGAGATGATTGTAGATAATGATTGATGATTGTTATAATAGTGATTACTAGTGATTATGATGATTTTTAAATAATGATTAGTGGTATTAACGAATGACTATGACAATCATTGGCAAGATGGTAGTGACTAGGGTGTCAAAAATGAACCCAAACATAGGTAACCCGCCTAGAATTTTAAGGGTTGAACTCAAGATAATTTGAATTGGGTTCAATCTCAACTCATTCAACCCAAACCCATTTTAAGAGAATCTTCAATTGAGCCCAATTCAATCTCCAATTTCAACCCATTTAAAAACTTTTTACTAAGATATGTTCAAATATTAAAGGTATGAATTATTATCTATTTAACATCTTTTAGGATTTATCTATCTATTTGTTATTTATTTTTTTAAAATCTTGAGCTGAAATTCGAATTGTGATTATAAAAGTTGAATATCACTATGTTAAAATTATTGAGATTAATCGGGTCAAATTGGATGGGTCAAGACCCAACCCATTTGAGCCCAAAGTAAACTTGGGCGGGTTAAGACCCAACCCAATTGTTATTTCAACCCATTTTAATATCTCTAATTTCAATAAGGGGAGGATTTACGTTGAACCATGGGGGTTCATCCGAACCCCCTTCGTCGAAAAATTGCACTATATATATAAAGATTAAAATATTAATTTACGTGTATATATATATACTATTGAACCCTTTGAACACATACAAAAGGTGTAGCTCAATGGCGTTGGGGGTTCAGGAATTTGCTCTATTGCACGTGAGGTCGCGTGTTCGAATTCGGGCAAAGGCATTTTTTTATCAGCTTATATTTTAGACGTTTTAATTTTTTTAAAAAAATAATAATGCAATCAGAAAACGATGTTTAGTTCCAAAAAATTAAAACGCTGATTGGGAATTTAGGATTTATTAGTTTAACCCCTAATTACAAAGTCAAATATTAAAAAACTCTTTTCTTCTTGATTCGATCCGTTTAATCCGACCCATTTATTTGTGGATATTATTTACTTGATTAATTTTTTTTGAACCCCCTTGATGAAAATCCTCCCTCCGTCACTGATATCAATCCAACCTGCCCATTTGACACCCCTAGTGACTAAGAATGACGGTTGTGCATGTGGATTAATACATGGTAGTTGATAATAGTGAACAAAGGAGGTAACCATTAGTAGTAGAAGTGGATAAAAATCTTTAGGCGGAGACGGCGAGAATTAATAGTGAAAGTGATTAGAGAAAAACATAGTTTTAATTACTAAATAACATTATCTTTAAACACACCTCTAATGTGTGGGCTTGATGTTTGTGCACATGCCAAACACGTGAATGTGATTCTTTTGTTGATGAGATTTGAAATCGGGACCTATGTTCTGTTATGATATCATGCATATTGAAGAGTGATTATCTCATCTAAAAGCATCAAGTTATTATAGATAATAAATCTTTAATTACTTAATTATATTATGTCTAAATATACAAAAGCTCATTAATTCATCCGAACAAATGCATGTATATTGACTATTTAATCAACATTTTATAGATCCAGGTGGAGGATGAATCTCACTCTGACTTGGAAGAAATTTTGACTGATCAGAACAGGTGAGAAACAAAGCTATTAGGAATGATTTTCAGAATCATGATTTCCAGTACTGCTTTTAATCATGTAGTGAATTTTTATAAAATTTAATGTGATTTACTACCATGTTATAGCAAATTGCGTATCATATATTTTAGGCTACTAAACCATACGTGTTATATCGTCAATGCATAGAACTTAATCTCAATATAATTTTAAGTAAAACATTGATGGCAGAGAAGAAAATTACATCACATCACTTGTACAATAATTTAGCTTTAATTGGTATAGCCGATTTTTCAGAAAACAACCTCTCTACCTTCAAAAGGCAGGGTAAAATCTACATACTAGCTAACTTAGACTCTTAAAAAGTTTCATTGCCTCTGTAATTTCATGTTGTATCTGAGATTAAGCTATATTCAACATTGTACACATATAAAACAGGATCAATTCCCAGAAGAAACTCGATCCTTGTGAATCGAGATGTTTACGTTTAAAGTTCTCACACGAGGTTGCTCCAATGGTATTTACTGGAGAGTGTATTTTTCCCAATGGAACCAAATTGGAATTGGTTGATGCTGTTACAGGACAACAAGTGAGACATGGGCCTCTAGCCTCATCAGCACAAGTAGAAATATTTGTACTTGATGACGAAAATTGGATAATTGAAGAACTAAACAATCATATTATGATGCAAACAAGAGGTGGAACATCAAGGCGCGACCAAAATCCATATCTGAGTTTGGAAGGAGGCGTTGTTTCTGTCAATGAAATTAAATTCAAACATACTCCAAAGCATATGAAGAAGTTGAACGTGGTAAAGCTAGGAGCAAGGGTTGTCGATCAACCTGAAGTGATAGAGGCAGTGACAGGACCCTTTACTGTCAAGGATAAACGTTCAAGTGAGTATTATATTTCTACTTAATTAATTACCTTTAATAAACTGAATAGTGAGTCAATTTAAGTTATGGTTTTCACAGAAAGCAAGAAGCGGTACCCTCCATCACCAACGGATGATGTATGGAGACTAGAGCATATTTACAAAAAAGGTGCTTTCCATAACCGGTTGACTGAAAACGGTATAAAAACAGTGGAGGATTTTCTAATTGAACTCCAAAACAATCCTGAAAGGCTACGCCATGTAAGTAGTCTCTAATTCTCTGTCTAAGAACATTTAACGTTGAGTGACTTTCTAGGAGAAGAGTGCATATCTCTGTGCAACTTGTGATATTTTGTAGTGTACCTACACGTACTGATTTCCTGCATCTGGATCTGTTTAGGCCAATTTACTGATAGTATTTCTCCAGGTTTCTGCCTTTAGACGGTTAATATTTTTCTCGTTTCAGTAAGAAGCAATACAAATGAGTTTTTACTTTTTGTGACTGTAGATCCTTGGCAAAAGCATGTCTGAAAATAATTGGAAAAAAGTTACAACGCATGCTAAGACTTGCAATGTTGTGGGCCTGGTGAATTTGGTCACGGTTGACGAATGCCAGTCTTTAGAGTTTCAAAATCCTTCAGTGAGTACTACTACTCTTTCACCAAATTTATTTGCTTACTACACTAGTAATACCTTGAAAATCTCTGATTTTGCAATGAATTATTTTGCCACGGTTGATTCAGGGAACAACTGAAACTAACCGGTGGATAGACGACAGTGCTGAATGTTCTACTTCTTATGCAATTGCTGACCAGTCAGATGAGATGTCTGTTGCTATCACTTCTCCTGGACATTCAGGTTTAGGTACTTGGGAGTATCTGGAATCCCTCAATTGTATCACATCTGCGATTTCACAATCAGAAGATTTGGAGAAAATAATACAATTAATTAATTCTAATGCAATTCATTATGATGATATCTCATATAGAGAGCTTGGCCAAACCAACAACTTTGCTGCTGAAACAGATGCCACACAGTTTCATGGATTGCAACATGGTGAGAGAATGGATCTTTCGCAAAACCAATTCATGGTTTCAGAAAATGTGCACACTTTCATTACTGAAGATGGCACAAATACTAATCAACAACACCAAATGAACAACGTTTTGATGGTTCCAGAGGCCTCAGACAAGTACAAGAAGAGTTGGATCAAGATATGTAGCATACTGAAATGGTACTTATCACTGAAGAGGTTTGTTAAACTTAAAAAGCTCCGCATGACCAAGAAGCGCAAATTAATTTCCAAATAAGCCACAGCCAAAACAAGAACCACTGGCTCTGTCCCATTTAGCTATGGTGGAAATCGATCAAAGGTCATATCAGAATTTCAGCTCATCGCTGAAATTTGTGTATATGTGTGATGTTTATGAATATCTTGTGGTCATGTTTCAACATGAACTATTTGACACATGCTTTACATTTCCATTACGTTTAATTCATGTCACGCCCTTTCCTTTTTAAATAGTTTCAAAATAAATGTTATTTTTCCTTCTTTTGACAATTATTTAATGACACCATCTACACTTATTTTTCTTTAAAATATTTTCCTTATCAAACACACTATAACACTACCTTTTTTTGCGTGAAAAAAGAGTTGCCCACAGCAGGTCCATTATTTTAATTTGGATCATCTAGAATTTGAGCTTTCCAGCTCGTGTGATTCTATACAATTCTCTAATATTTGGTCGTATCCGCCGTCTTAGAATAACTTAGCTTTTGTCTTTTTTCTTCAAGAAATACTACTTGTTTCAACTTACCAAGAATTTGCTGAGAATCTCTTAACTATACTCATGCCAGTGCTCATTGCTACAAATTAAATTGTACTCTCTTCATTCACTTTTACTCGTGACTTATTCCTAAAAAAATATATTTTTATTATTTATTTGACATTTTTGTCATATCAAGAAAAAAATAATTATTTTTTTTCTATATTTTACCCTTAATATTAAATACTATTCTCCATATCATTTTTCAAGACTCAATATTGTTATATCTTTTTACCAATGTGGCAACGTGAATTGCTCAATCCCAATGCCGGTTCAAGCTAATTAGTGCTCTAAAACCAAAAATAAATGGGAGGGCCTAACTTTTAATTTATTTTTATTTTATTTTTTAGATGCAAAGTTTATTATTATTTTTTTATTGGAAAAACTTTATTTTTTATATGGTCTTAAATTAATATATGTATATATACATATAATATACCAAAATATTTTTTTATTTTGTAATCTTAAACATGTTATGTGGAAGTTAAATTTAAAAATTGACAACAAAAAAAAAATTCTACTATTACTAAATAAAATGAAAGACACAATACACTTTTTTTTTAAAATTAAAAAGGACTTATAATAATTCTACTATTACTAAACAATGAGGATTTCAAATTTAAATGCCTAAAAACGGATGCCTCATTTTTAAAGACATTGAGCCGCCCCTGCTCAATGCCTCGATCTATATTTACATTCAATTTCTATTTGAATATAATCATATTAAATACAAACGTGAAATTAACTTGGGAACTATGTGGCATTTAGATAAGCTTATAAACTTGTGGTTTATAAGTATTGTAACTTATTCTATGTATTTGATGAACATCTAAACTTATAAGTGGTATTTATAAATCCAAAACGATAAATTGGTTCGTCCCAATTTATAATTTTTTTTGCCTATCAGCACTTTTAGTTTAATTAAGTATCTATTTATTGTATTGTATTTCTAATTTTTAAAATAGTTGTCCCCAAATAAGAGTACTCCTCTCTCTCAATTCTAATTTCGTTATTTATTCTTCTCATTTGTTTACACTTTTTAGTTAATCAAATCAATTGCTCCCTCTAGACAGAGTTCATATTAACTGAACTGTCGAGATTATATATATATATATATATATATATTTATTTATTTTTATTTTTTTTAATGAGGTTTTTAGTTATTTTATAGTTTCTAAGAGAATATCTAGTCAAAAAAGGTAATAGTGAAAAGTAACATTTTAATTTTTGTCCTTAAATATTTTTCTTAAAGATTGTGTTATACTCAACCAATGATATGAACTAGATGAAGTTACATTTGTACTAATTTAAGTATTTCAATACAATCACATAATTATTTATCTATAAAATGGAAAATGGTAAAAAAAAAATGCTCTTAAATTATTTGAAAATGAAAATAAATAAAAATGTCTTCAATTAATAGTTTGATCTAAAAAATATCTCTATCATTAATAATTTAGTCCCAAAACATCTTTACTAATTTGATTCGAAAAAACATTTTTAACGAATTAAGTAACAATAAATATTTTATAGATTAAACTATAATAACAAAAACATTTTTAGATCAAACTAGTTCCACACGGCTCATGTGACGAGAGCATAACGTAAAAGCCAAAAGGAGGGATTGAATTGTACGGAAACAAAATGTAGAAGAACAACATTGTTTAGTGTGGGATGGTGTGCTACTGCTCTCAAATTTTAGTTTATTTTCTTCTTTTTATTTTCCACATAGGGTCGGGTCTTGTTTTTTTTAAAACGCGGCTGTTTTTGGGACCCTCTCCATTTTCCTTGTGCAGCTCTTTACCGAGAAAAGTCTCACTCTCTCTCTTATATATACACTTGGATTCTCATCCATCATAAATTATCCATCTTTACATTTATTTCTTTTTCAGTTTTCTAAATATAGTTTAATTTCCATGAATGACATATTAATGTCTAATTCTGAGGATTTAGGTACCCACAAAAGCAATTCAGAGGATGAGCTGTTTTTCTCTTCACCAACGTAAGTCAACTCTGAATCATTGCTTGATTTTGTACTGAATATTCTTGCTCAAGTAAAACAAAGATTCTGTTCTTATCTTGACATTTTCGATCAGCTTGATGTTTGCTTTGACTAGTAATTTATGTTTCTTTACTTGTATTTAGTATGAAGAAAATGTTGGAAGTGATGGTGATTCAGACTTTTAACCGTGTTCTAAATCCAACCTTGGAAAAATTGATTCGTAATGTTGTAAGTATACTGGTTTACTCAAAATTCAAATGCATTGAATCTTCTCTAGTTGTTTCGGGTGAATCCACACACTTAATATATATTAGATGTTGAAATCGTTCGGTTAGTTATGTGTTTACTTAGTGGGCGTTTGGATTAACTCGTAACTTTTAAGCTTTTTTTTTGTTTTGGAAGTGTTTGACAAACACCAAAAAGATGTTTTAAGCACTTCTTTCTAGGTTAAATAAAAAAAGTAAGAAAAAAGTCGAAAGTTGGAAATTCGACTTTTAACTTTTAGCTTATAAGTCACTTAAAAAAAATTAATCTAAACACCCTTTTAATTCATATTTGTGATAATCCTGACTACAGAGGACTACCTGGCTCTGTCCCTGCACACACTTTCATAGACCATATAACAGCTTTGAGTTTTAATTTGATGTAAATGGATTTTGATCCAGTGGAGAATTAAAATTGGGAAAACCATGAAATGGTGAATTATTCATCTCATGTTAGGCAGGGAACTGCTGCTAATCTGTCGTATGAGAATCTTCACGACTTTAAAGCTGAAATTCCGAATTAATATGCTTAGACAACTAGGGATCAAAATTTTTGAACATTTTTTCATCAATAATTCCATAAGATAGTGCCACGTAGGCCGAAAAGGGATAGAAAATTATTTATAAAATAATTTAGGGCAAAGGTTGGGGCTACTTATGCATTTTCCCTTTTTCAATTTTCAAAACAAAGCTACCTAAAACATGAAACTAGTCTAGTGATCAATATTTACTATCAGGTGGTTAATCGCTCCAGAAAATTTATACTGCTTAAATCTTGGGGATTTAGTAGTTATGATGTTGTTCGTATTCCAAACGTCTTCTTTCTAATATTTATCATAGGCAGATAGAAGGATGGTTTTGTCCTGAAAAACGATTTTCTTGAGCCGAGGGTCTTGGAAAACAGTCTGTCTAACCACTCTCTCCATTCCCAATTTGTGGGACTACACGGGGGTTTGTTGTTGTATTCCAACAACTTCTTCTAAGTGTACTTTCTCTGTCCAGGTAAAACATGAACTTGAATTGGCAGAGAAGAAGTTTATATTCACCAAGGGGTAAGGATCATTCTCTGTGTTATTCTGTATTCCTATTCCCCATTTAGCAAGTAATAGTGTCACAGTCAATTATATCGTCAATCTCGTATCTGAGACATCATTGTTCTCCAGAAACCCTGAAAAAGATATTCAAGCTCCTAAACCAAGAATCTTGAAGTTGATGTTCCGGTCGGAAGTATCTGTTCCTGTACTTACCGGAAAGGAAATTAAAGGAGAAGGAGATAATGCTATTGAATTGGTCTTAGTTGATGATAACACTGGAGAAATTGTTGAATCTGGACCAGAAGCATCAGCTAAAGTGGAAATTGTTGTTCTCAGGGGAGAATTTGGAGATGATGATGGAGGTAATTGGACAGTTGAAGAGTTCGATAGTAATGTTGTGCGAGAGAGGGAGGGAAAAAAGCCTCTTCTAGCAGAAACTGTACATGTGAGACTTAATAAAGGCATTGGTTCTGTAGATAAAATCAAATTTTCACATTCTAAATTCTATATGAAGATGGGGATGTTCAGGCTAGGTGCACGAATTGTTGACACTTTCAATAGCATTCAAGTAAAAGAAGCAAGGACTGAATCTTTCACTGTCAAGGATGGGCGCCAGCAATGTAAGTAGCTTTTCTATTTACACAATAAGGGCAGATTAAAGGAGGCTTGCAGGGCTAATATTGGTTTTGTGGTACTTTTAACTTACTTTTCTCTAACTATGTGTAGTGATGAGGCACAATAGGAAGATAAACCTGAGCAATTAAACCATTACAGGATCTAGCATGTTAGAATAGATACTGATTACTGGTGGTTCTATCTGCAGATCATGAGAAGCATGATCCACCATCTCTATCCGACGGGGTACATCGGTTAAAAAACATAGGTAGATGCAGTATGAAGCGCCTCTGGAATGAAAATGTCCACACTGTAGAGGACTTTCTGATTTTGCTCCTAAAAGACCGTGAGCGACTCAAATGTGTAATTCACTATGCCTTTTTCCTTCTGAAGCTTCACCTACATAGTGTTTGCTACCAGTATAAACATGCTTATTTGAACTGCATGTTAAAGCTTACCTCTAAAAACTTACTAACTCATGGATCGATGCTGTCAATTTTAACCTTGTATTGGAACGTAGCATTAAAATAAATAGTGTAAAACCATATTACCATCATACAGTGCATGTTTCACCTTTATTACAATCTAAAGCTAGTGACATATTTTGTTGATTTTCAGGTACTTAATCTAAAGCCAAAGATGTTGGAGGAGACAATTAGCCATGCTCGGAGATGCATAACTAATGAACGGACATACTCTTATATTGACTTACAAAAAAAGGAAGAGGTGGTTTTTAACATCGTTGGAGAGGTGCAGGGACTTATTCTACGGGGTCAATATCTACCTATGCATCTTTTATCTGAAAGTGATAAGGCATGATTTTTTAGACCAAAACTTTTACTGTTCTCTCTTTTCTTTCGTTGCTTTTATCTCATATTTGTTGCTGTTTTCGTCCTATTTATGTTTGAAATTGACAGGCTAATGCTCAGAGGCTGCTCGTATCTGCATGTGAAAATTGGGATCATGTAGTACCAGTTGATAATGAGACATTTTTTATGCAATATCCTTCTCAAATATTGCCAACCATGAATTCTTTGAATTCTCCAAGCCGAAAGGTTCCTAGCACCAGTAATGGCATTGAGAATTTTAGAACAAGTGATGGACACTGTTCTACCTCTTTTCAGCACAATGTTTCATCCGTCATTCCTGCCAGAGTTGCAAGTGCAATCAGTCAGAACGATCCTGATTCCGCCGGTATCAGTAACATGGAGTTCTCTAACTCCCCAATATATAGTCCTTTATTCCAAGATTTTTGGATTGATCAATGCAACATAGAAGACTTAATTTTTAAATTGAATGCTCATCAACCACATGATGCCTCTACATCTAAGGTAAATGTGCATAACCGGTGGAAAATGTTGCTTAAAATCTTTAGACAGTCCTCAATGAGAAGAAGAGCTGCAGCATTAACGGATATTCAACCTCTGAAGAAGCAGAGAGTCTTTTGATTCTATTGCTTTAGACTGTTAGTAATCAGTTCAACAGAAGGTGCATATTTCCTTAGTGATGTTGTGCTTGCCAAAGACTATGATTAACTTTGAAGAATGAGTTTTGACTGCTCTGGTTCTGTTATGCAGTTGAAAGGATAGATCTCAGAGTTCCTCATCACAGACAAGGAAAGCATAACCTTCCACTGCAGATTCTAGTTACTCGTTGTTCTGGTGCTGTAGTAACTGGGATTCAACGTTTGAGAAGGCATGTTGAAAGTCTAATATAGTTATATGTTAGAATGTCGAAAATATAGGTATATGTTCTAAAGTGTTTAGATTCATTTTATATCTTGGTTAAATTATTAGAATATTATTGATGATCATCTCATGATTTGGAGTCCCAATAATTAAGAGTGTCTTTGTTTCATGAAATCTTAACTCCTGAGTATATAAGTAGGTGTAGCTAACATGAAAGGGGGTTGAAATAATACTTGGTGAGGAAAGATTTGTGTTCATATTACACCTCATATATCTTCTTCATTATCAGGTACTGAACTTTGTGTATTTTGGAGTTCATTTCATATTAGTTTTTGTCTGTCTCGTCGATTCTGAATATCCTCAACCTCAAGTACTACCACTCTTAATACTTATTACTGCTTCCATGCCTTCTCTATTTAATTTTGCCTTGTTGACTGAATTGTCTGACTTAGAAAAATCATACCTGTTTGGGTGGGTCATGATTTCATGGGCTGATTTTGCCACCTCTGGCCTTGACAGGGTAGAAAGTTATTGATCGCGGTTAGTATTACATCAGCAATGATTTGATGAACTAACGAGCCTGATTATTTAATGAGCTTCCATTTATAACCAGTTTGACATGAGGTCTAAGTATCAAGCATTTCCAAAAAAAAAAAAAAAAAAAAAACTAAATGAAGAAGCAGCTTTTGATGGTCATATTTAGATTCTGAAACATGGAACTCTGCATGATTAGTGATAGATTTTACTCTTAATGCCATGACTAACACTAGTGAGATGAATTGCATCTGGCATTCACCTGTTAGCAGAACACATTACATGACAAGGTATGCAGGATTTTCAAAAGAACAGGAGGAGAATCCTTTTTTGTGTTAAATCCCATTTATTGAATCAGTTTAGAGAAACAAAATGTATTTTAGTACATTGTCGATTCTGTATACTCTAGTATATGCTATATTCTTTAGATACGTAGAGCAATTCAAAACAACTGCTCTGTATATAATTCTATAGTAATTGCTAAAAAGACTAGAGCAACTGTAAGGTCTTCTGCATTTGTACACCATATTAGCCTCAGCAAGAGCGTAGAAGTAGATCTGACTCCATTAATGAACACCTGCTGGCTCCAGCATTCAGGAACTCCTACATTTTGCAAGCCTTGCTGTCCTTACACATTTCCTCCTTTATGCAAGAAACAACAAAGGTGAGATTTTAGTAGTCTGTAGACTATCCTATGTATCAAAACACGAAAACAAATGCTCCTTGTTATGCTTTATGTGTTGAAGGATCTATATCAGGTTTGATTTCTGACAGAAATGGAAAAGAATATAATCTCAGTAGGAAATGTTATATTATGCATACAGTTTCCATGTGTCATGCATGAGATTCAAAAATCTAAACTGGAACTTTCTTCAACACCAACAGGAGAAAGAAACTGAATGTATCTATAGGTTCAAACACTACTGATCATGGATCTGAAGCTTGTATGAATGCAACCTGCACATCAATTGAAATGCTGAGAAAGGTACTCGTGTGATAAATACATTGACTGGCAGGGACAACGATAGGGGGCTTTCTTGATGATTATGCATATACGCAATCCTTCAAAAATGTATGAACAGTGACAACCACAAAACTTAGCTTAAAGGGACATTGTAGAGCCCACCTTCTTCCTTCGTGCCTTCAGAACTTCTTCTAAAGATGGTCGACCTGTAACAAGAAATACAGCTTCAGGAAATTGTTTTTAAGACTATATGCCATTAGTATATATTGGATGGCTTTCTGAAGTGCACCATGATGGCTTGACAAGATAGAATGTAAACTGCTTAAAGAAACTGAAACAAAATACTACTGTACTGAACATTTCTAAATGATTGAAGGCTGTGATATACTAAAATAGATGTCTATAATTTGTGTATGCATGTGAACTAGATAGGAAATTAAGGATTCAACATGAGCTAGATCCATCTGCTCTTTGTCTCCAAATCTTTTTTATAAGGGTTATTTGGAAGATACGATGAAATGGGATTTAACCTGTTACTTGAAGACGATATTTTGCCCAGACTCCATACACAGTATCAGCAATAGTTGCAATCTGCAAATCACAAGCTTTCATGAGAACATGTCAACTGGTGTGACACAACTTATTAAATCTAGAATTAAAGAGGACTTACAGGTTCATATTTTGTAATGGCATACACCCATCCTAAACCAACTGCTTCATACAGCCGTCTAAACACCTAAATCAGTTACAAAAGAGAAGAAAAAATTGTGAAATTTCAAATATGAAGGAGAAAATTACAAGTATCAAATATTATGGCACACCTCAACATCTGTGACCACAGTTCCATCTGATAGTATAGCATGTATTCTTCCCATAACCTAAAAAAATGGTGGCATATAGGCTAGAGTCATTACTTCATGAAAAGTAAGAAAACAGAAGCGAGCTCGAGCAATTCAGGTTAGGTACTTGTTAGATAATTAAGGATCATACCGTCTCATAATCAAGGCCTTCATTCTCCTCTGGGCGGTATTCATCTGAACTTATGTCAAGAAATTTAATTGTTCCATAACTTTTATTCCTCTCTCTTAGCATGTCAACCTGAAAAAATTAAATCGTCTTCATAATAGAGCAGCATCGACAAGTGAGGACTGCTGAAGCTGCTGAACACCTCCACCATCAATCTACTCAAGTGGCTGAACACCTCCACCATCAACAAGTAGATTGAGGGTTCAAGTCACACTAGAGGCTAAGTGGGACTACTATTGATCATCCATTATAATATAGAAAAACTGTACACAAAACAGAAACAGGGAGAAAGCTGACAAATTGATATGATTCTATATACTACTCCCAATTTTCACGACACTTTTCCCTTCTCGAGAGTCAATTTGACTAATCTTTGGAGATTATATGTTGTAATATTCTAAAAATAAAATTTATATATTCAAAAATTATACTTGCCAATTTTTCTCAAACTTTACATAGTTTGAATCTCGAAAAACATAAGTGTCACAGGACGGAGAGAGGGAATATATATACCTCGCGCATGCATAGGGGACACTCTCCATCGTAAAGCATCTTAATTTTCCAGTTTTCAGGAGATTTCTCTTCATTAATATCCTTGTTGGGTGCCACAGTTGTTCCACTAATTGCCCTAATAGAATATCTTGGTCCTGGGGATTTTAAAAACAGTAATGAAAATTAACCAAAGTTTCATCATTATGATCATGTAGAGAATTAAGCAAAGAGAAATTGATTGATGAAAAGTTTTTACCATTTTGATTGAGCAGAGAAGGGTTTGGATTGGGAAGAAATTTAGAAGAAGAGGAGAATTTGGTAGTGAGATAAGCAGGAAGTGATAAGAGAGAGATATTGGATCGTCTGACAACAGGAGACGATGCTACTCTGAAAGCCATTTGCATATTTTGGTAATGAAGAAAAGTGATGAAGGAGAAGGAACTGAGTCTATTTTTGTTCATGTTAACGGCCACACCTACGTGGCTGTTCCATCTTCACTAAAATCATGTTGTTTTTCATCACCTTCGTGAAAATAATATACATATAATTTAAAATTTCGTTGAGTATTTAATAAATATAAAAAAAAAGTATATTATTTTTAATCGAATAAGTTTTAAATAATACAATATATTTTATATAAGTTTTGATCAGTAATGTTTGATTGGTCATCCATTAATATAAGTGGTTACGCTCCATCTCTCCCATGTCATACATCAAATTCAAAAGAAAGGAAAAATTATCTAAAATACTCAATTTAGTTTATCATATTCTTTAAAATTCTTATCATTTGAAAAAATTACAAAAAATTTTACTCTCTTCTATTCTCGGATACATTACTTTAAGCGATGTATCGATCGGATACATCATTTTATGCGATGTATCAATTTTTCGGATACATCACTTTACGCGATATATCGGTCGCATATATCACTTTGTGCGATGTATCAGTCAGATACATCACTCTATGCGATGTATCAGGACATACACGATATATCGGGATATTGGGTGATGTATTCAAACAAAGAAGCGATGTGTCGGGACGTTTTGGGATGTATCCGGATTCCACAAAATTCAATGGATTTTTGTAATTTGGAAATGAGCAAAGATAAAATGTAATTAGCTCTTAATACTATATATAAACATGACTTTTAAGTTGGCGTCAGCTGTCGATTATGACCTATTACTTTAGGTGTGCACAACTAGGCACTTAAACTTGTATAAAATTGAACAAATGGACACATTCATCCTACATACATGACTATTTTATGTCCTACATGACTTCCTATGTGTATTATGCCATGTAGGACAAATGTGTCTACTTGTTCAATTTTATACAAGTTTAAGTGTCTACTTGTGCACAATCAAAGTTGGAGGGCATTGTTGTCCGCTAAAGTCAAGTAAGAGTCATGTTTATGTATTATGACTATTTTATTTGTGTCAAAATCCCAAAGAAAAAATGTTTGGGCTTATATGGGTTCACATCAATTAAGAGCTTCAATCCAGTACGATGGAAAAGGCCCAATACATACATATGGGCTATGGCTCCTCTCTTTACTTTGTTTCCAATTTTTTTTTTTTGGCCGGGGGATGGGTGTGTGTGGGGGGGGGGGGGGGGGGGGGTTATGATCATGAAAACAAATGGTTCTGGAATTTTTTATTTCATGCATATGGCTCCTCTTTTTACTTTGTTTCCTAATTTCTTTTGCGGGGTCCTGGGAATGGTCTTAAATTAATTTTTTTCGATTCATCTCTTGAGCAAAATTTTCACGATCAAAACTCAAAACTATCATTCATGTGGAAAAATATGTTTTGAACCTTCTGTCT